CTAACCAGAGAGAGTTTGCTTGTTATCTGTTCCAGGCAAGTAACTGGGGCAAAGACCATGCAATGATTCCCTAGTTCAGGGCACAGAGTGTTTGCTGGTGATTCAGAGAGGGCATGGAGGGCCGGCAAACTGTAAGTCATTTTGTTTGTGTAAGTTTAGGGGAACCCATGCTCAGCCCACTCTGAAGCATGTAGTGTCACCCATACGATCTGAATAAAGATGACAGGTCTCGATATTTGGAATTGTGCACCAGGTTGTCTCATTGCTGTTTAGGAATAATCATGTATTTACCAAACCATGTGAGAGAGAGACAGCCTGATCATGAACCCCCGAGCCTGCAGACTTCATGTGCAGGACCCCAAATAGTCTAGAAAGTGTCGTTTAGCCGACGAACAAATGCCCATTTGTGAGATGGGAAGGAAGCACTGGGGGCCAGTGTCCTTGACGCTGTCCCAGGATCCCCCAGGGACACCTGCAGGGCAGCCTGAGATCACTCTTCCTGAGACCTGGGACTCCCCCTACTCAGCCCCTCAGGGACGGGCCCTGCCTGCCTCCTGGTTGCCTGCTTCAGCCATGTGGAGCCTGCCCTTGCTGCTAGAAAAGCCTGATGTAACGCTGGCACAGGAAGTTCTGATCCAGAGTGTTTTTGTTTGTTTTGCTTCCTCAGGATTTCCTTGGATCTGGAGACCCCAAAGAAACAAAGATGCTAATCACCAAACAGGCTGACTGGGCCAGAAATATGAAGGAGCCCAAAGCCGCCGTGGAGATGTACATCTCAGCAGGAGAGCACGTCAAGGCCATCGAGATCTGTGGTGACCATGTCAGGGTTGACATGAAAGTTTCCATCTGTGCCCCAAGCATTTGGCAGCATGTCATCACATGCCACCTCTTGGCTTTGACAAGGAAACAAATTGTGCTTCTCTAAATATTTAAAGCAAATGTGATAGTGATTGGGTTCCTTGGGAGACACAGAGGTTGCCTGTGTCTAGAGTTCAGAGCAGGCCCCACAATCACCTCTTCCTTTAAAGGGCAGTCATTGAGGAATTCTCACACGTTGGCCTCCACTTTTCTGTGAGAATTCCTGTACCTGTGGTGGAACGAGCGCCGGGCCACTTCCTGGCTGCTGAGTCTTGGGCTGGGTGCTTCACCTTCCCCCTAGACTTTATTCTCATCTGAGAGATGGAAATAATCGTGCTCACCTCTTAGGGACCTAAGTGACAGGGTTTAGGTATTTCAGGAAACCTTTATCCTGCTTCCCCACGGCATGGGGCCCCGGGGCCTGGCACCCCCTCCCTGCCTGCCCACCCGGGTGGCCTTTCCTCTTGGCAGCCAAGCCCCAGGGGCCCGTAGCCAGAGTCCAGGGGGAGGAGAACATGTGCCTGGCCCCTCGGGAGTCCGTGGCTGTTTTGTAGGAGTTGGTGCCCTTGTGCTACCGCTGCTCCACCAACAACCCACTGCTCAACAACCTGGGCAACGTCTGCATCAACTGCCGCCAGCCCTTCATCTTCTCCGCCTCTTCCTACGGTGAGTCCCTGCATCCTGAGCATGTGGGCGGGAGAGCCTGTGGACCACTACGCTCACTCCACTGCTCTCTGGCCTCAGGACGTTGGGCAACGGCCAAAGGCCTCTGAATGTCCCTGTTTATGAAATGAGGACACTCTGACACCCACCTGCCTGACACAAGGAGTCACTGTCAGTGTTCCCATAGATAGGACCCACTGCTGCCCAAAGCTGAAGCACCCACTCTGGGAACCTGGCACAGTGCTGTACATAACCAAATGCCCCAGGAAGAGAGTCCGATGGCTCTTCATTCAGACTGGAAGGCTAAGATAGGTTTTCAAGGCCAACTCCTTTGATGTTGACAGAGGATCAGAAGCTCCTTCCCAGGAGCTGAGCAGAGGCCAGCACACACACACGACTGCCCATGCGCGCGCGCACACACACAGAGACGGCCCCTGCACACACACGCGCACACACACAGAGACTGCCCCTGCATACACACACACATACACACACAGACTGACCCCGTACACACACATACACAGGCTGCCCCTGCACACACGCACACATGCACAGAGACTGCCCCTGCACACAGAGACTGCTCCTGTGCGCGCGCGCACACACACGGAGACTACGCCTGCGCACACACAGAGACTGCCCCTGCACACATACAGACTGCCCCTGCCGCCTCTGCTTGCCTAGTTGTTTAAACCTGTTGTTCTTGTGCAGGCATGGTGGCTCATGTCTGTAATCCCAGCACCTTGGGAGGGCGCAGCAGGAGGATCAGTTGAGCCCAGGAGTTCAAGGGTGCAGTAGGCCATCATCACAGCTGTTAATGGCCACTGTATTCTAGCCTGGGCAACGGAGTCTCTAAAAACAAACCATAAAGACTACCTAGCACTAATGTCCTGTGACCCCTCTTTGCACTCTCCACCTCTGTGTAAGCACTCTCTGTCCACAAAGTCTTCCTCTTAATTCTCCCTCTAGTTCACATTTGGCTGTAATGCCTCTGTGCCCCTGAAAATACCCCTTACCAAAGCATAAAGGGCCCCTTAAGGTCTGAGGCCTATGTTTGATCTTCCCCGAATTCCCTCATAAATAAAGCAACATTCTGGAAACAGCCAAAAGATATTATATTGAAAACCGGTGATTACTGCTGTGTTCACTGTGTCAAGCAAAGTCCATTTTTCTGGTCTTGGGTCTCCAGAGTTGTGAGGACAAAAGTCTCTCCCCTTTCCAACAAAGGAAACACACTGAACTCCCCAACAGCATTCTCTTTTTCCTTTTGAGATGGAGTTTCACTGTTGCCCAGGCTGGAGTGCAGTGGCACGATCGTAGCTTACTGCAACCTCTCCTTCCGGTTTTCCCACCTCAGCCTCCCGAGTGGCTGAGACTACAGGCGTACATCACCACGCTTGACTAATTTTGTCTTTTTAGTAGAGATGGCGTTTCCCCAAGTTGGCCAGGTTGATCTCAAACTCCTGACCTCAGGTGATCTGCCCCGCCTTGGCCTCCCAAAGTACTGGGATTACAGGCATGAGCCACCACACCTGGCCCCAACAAGAATTCTCTAAACTCCTGCAAGGAATGACTTCAGATTCCCTCAGAGAATGTCAACTTCCCAAAATGCATCCCAAGAGTTTCCAGAGTTCCTGCCAGAAGTGCCCACATAGATGCAAACTTCTGAGCCCTGAAACCAGAGATGGGCCCAACTCACTTGTTGCGTATCAGCAGCACTCCCAGCTGCTTGACATTGTGGACCAAGAACTTCCGGAAGCCACTGGGCAGCATGTGCTTTCTGGGTTTTTTTGCTCCTATAACCAATGCTGGACATCATATCAAGATCTGGCCCTTGAACCTTCTACAAACCCTGTTGTCAATCCCTTGGGATTTCCGCCAGTTATGCTGAAGGAAATAACACACAGGTGGGTTAGCGTCTGTGCAGAGTGCCAACTGTTCCTTTGGGGAGGGAAAAAAGAACCAAATGAAAAGGAAGTATGCCACACAGTAGTTGCCTTTGGTAACAGGACTTTATTATTTCCTTACATGCTTTTTTGGTAGGAAAAACCAGGAGCTCTTGGCTTTAGCCATTAGGAATGCAGGCACCCCTGCCATTCTCACTCCCAAGAAATGGAGACACCAATGGGATGCGAGGGGACTGTGTAGATACTGAGATGGCGAGCACAGCTCCGGACACTGCTCTCAGCACCTCTGAGTTTTCCTGTCTATAAAATAGGGATCCTGCTGTCATAAGGCAACCCAAAATACACGACACAAATGCAAAGCCCTCTAAACACATCGAAACAGCCAAGTGTCCCTTCTCATTTAAATTTCACTTCATACACCAAGAGACTTGAGACCAGCACTAGGGCACACTGGGGGAGACCTGTATTTCTACAGAAAGCTCTTCCACAAACCAGTTCATTGGTCAAAGGTAATCCCGACTAGGTGATGTCAGAAACCGATAGCCTGTTGGAAACTTCTTTCTTCACCCCACACCTATTTCCATTCCAGGGCCATATACTTTAATTTTGACATATCGGTCTGACTGGTGCCGGATGAACTTCTTGGTTCTTTTCTTGACGATCTTGGGCTTCACAAGGGGTCTGAGGGCGGCCATGATGCCTTCTGGGAAAGAAGCAGCCCCAGGTGAGGAAGAATCCTGGAAGGAGGCTTGGAAGGAGATTTTCCCACCCAGGGATTGAACACTGTCGCAGAGTGTCTTCCAATCGCCAACTACAGAGCAAGCTGGGAATGGAATGGGTGCCTCTGCCAGGCTTGCTTTCCCTCCCTTTCTGAAGCTGGCAGAATACTAGGCACTCTTTAGACGCGATCCCAGGAGGTCAAGGGTCACCTCACCCACTCAGAGCCCAAAGAATGCCAACAGCTGAGCAAACCAAAACTGACCCTGAGATACTCTCAATTTGCAAGGGGCAGCAAATCCCACCCCGCCAGTGTCCGAACCCCCAGATGGTCCTTCCAGTAGTACTGGCCTTGACTTGAACTTGCGTCTTTTCCTCACCTGTAAAATGGAGAAGACACTGTGCGCTGAATGCCTGCAGTGCCTGTCACAGGGTAAACGGTCAATAAAGAAAAACCTTCTAATTCCCCAGGGAGCTGCTGCGCTACCACACCCTCAACACACACAAAACCATCATATCCCTCTAAGGATGCCTCAAACCTGGAGATCTTCCAGTATCAACTCACACCTTCCTCAGTGTGGTCTTCTGAGCCATTCATTTATTTCCTACAGCAGCACTCCTTCTGTTCTCTTTGCAGCCATCAATTGGCACAGAGTGGGTACTCAGCGAACCACGTATTCAAAACGACTTTGCCTTCTGGCCCATGATATCCTTGAAGGCGAGGGGGAAGTTTCATCTTTATGTTCCTAGAGATCCTGACTATCAGAATCTCTGTTAAGAACTGAGTGAGCGGACCTGCACCCCATCTTTTTTTTTTTTTTTTGCAGTCCCACCAGAGCAGCCCTAGGGTCACAGACTAGAAGGAAAGGAGCGTGGGGCCATGGCAATGAACGAATGCACGTGGGCCAACATCAGTAAGCACGGTATAAACCAAAAATTAAATTCTAAGCCCCCAACCCAACTGAATGGACTCTTGCTCTTGGCCAAGGGCATTCCTAAGTTAACTGAAAAACTAGTTCAGGCCAAATGCGGGGTCAAACTTGCCTCATTATGCCCTTCTCCCTATGGAATTCAGGCACAGCTGACCAGCATTAACATTAAAAGCGATCCCAAGACTGACAAAACAGACTTTGTAGCAATAAGACACCAAATTTCAACCTGACTCTAGTATAGCATCACATGACAGATTGCAGGCCCTGAAAGAAACAGAAGTACTTTACTCAAAAATATATTTCTTTGACACATTCTGACATGGCCCTGTAAAGCTGTCTCTTGGGACAATCTACGTTCTGTAGTGAATCCCTCTCCCTTTCCAGGTCTTCTCCCTGAGCCAGGAGAGACTCCACTAAGAGTATGGCACCTTTTCAGGTCTGATAAGAAACATCTACAATCTAGTCTCTTTGAAGCCCGCTACCTGGAAGATTCATCTGCATAAATAAGAATCTTGGTCTCCACAACCGCTTTTCTGAACCTAGGCATTCCTTTTTGTTGATTCCAGGTCTTTGGACAAACTCGACCAATTGTCAAATCTACCAATAGCCTGGCCCAGGCCCCCTCAACACACCTCCTTAAAATGTACAAAACCAAGCTGCACCCCAACCACCTTGGGCAGATGTTCTCAGGACCTCCTGAGGGCTGTGTCACGGGCCATGGTCACTCATACTGGACTCAGAATAAGTCTCTTCAAATACTTCACACAGTTTGACTCTTTTCCTCAACAGACAACCACCGCCCCCGCCCCCGCCCCGGCTGCCTGCTTCACTCTGTTCCTGTAGGCGCTCCAGCAAGCCGGCAATACCCACAGACACACAGTGGTAGGGAAGGCCTCCTTACCAGGGGACACACCCGGATTAAGACTCACCCAGGTCGGGCGCGGGGGCTCACGCCTGTAATCCCAGCACTTTGGGAGGCCGAGGCCGGCGGATCACTTGAGGTCAGGCGTTCGAGACCAGCCTGGCCAACACAGTGAAACCCACTCTCTACTAAAAATACAAAAATTAGCCAGGCGTGGTGGCGGGCGCCTGTAGTCCCAGTTGCTTGGCAAGCTGAGGCAGGAGAATCGCTTGAACCCGGGAAGCGGAGGCTGCAGTAAGCTGAGATCGCACCACTGCACTTCAGCCTGGGCAGCAGAGTGAGATTCTGTCTCAAAAGCAAACAAACAAAAACAAACAAACAAACTCACCGAGCCAGAAAAAGAAGCGCCGAGAAAGAGACAGTG